CTGTTGCTAATGCTCATTATAGCTTCCAAATTCTTGGCTATTATACAAAATTGATACGTGATCTAATTCACAAAACAAAAGAATGATGGCGCATGTGTCGCCGAAATATCTATGTATCCATTTTATTGTACGTTCAAGACCAGGTCATCTCCTCGTCGTGTAGGGGTTAATGTCGGCTGCCAATGCGGCGACATAGGAAGGTTTGGTGGTGTTTTGTTTTGAGTATCACGATTCCACTTTGATGCGCCAGTTTTGTCTGTACCGATAGCCATACCAGCGGCGCGATCCAAACCGACACGCTTAGCCAGGAGTGAATCCTGGCTATCGGAGTGAACAAGTGAAGGGTTCATTGATTGCGGGGGGCGGTAACTCTGGTATTGAGAGGGGTGTATTTGAGCCTGCTGTCCGGCAGGATAGGGTTGAAATGACTGGTAACCTCCTGTATTACGAGGGTAATGGTGCTGGCTTAACCAAGGTTGGAAGGAAGGGTACATCTGTGGTTGTTGGTAGGGCTGCAGATGCGGGAATGTGCGTTGATAGGGCTGCAAAGGCTGCTGTTGCTGTTGCTGGAATGACGGATATGTTGGGGGTATACGTTGTGTAGGCTGCCAAGGGTTTTGCTGCTGCTGCTGCTGATGGTGGTTGTGGCGTTGTTGCTGGTGATTGTGTGAATGCAGTCTCTGGACTGGTTGCCAGGCTGCCTGTTGTTGACGAGGGGAAGGTTGAAACGAGGGAGGCCTCTGATATGGTTGATACTGCTGAGGCTGGGGCCCTGATGCAGAACGGCGATGCTGTGAGGTTTGGCGAGACTGAAGAGGTTGAGGATATGGTGGGTCAAAGTAGAAGGGGGACGCCCGGATTTGATCATCCTTGACATTCGCGGGTTCTGTGGTCTCGTCTGGCTCCGGAGAGGGCTCCACAATGCGCATTGTCGATGAAGCTGCCTGTGTGCCTGTGTTGTCGGCGGGCTGCATGCTCTGAGCAGCTGATGGAGGTTTCTGTTGTGGTTGCGCATTCAGCTGCGCTTTGGACTGTAGTGCTGCGTAGTATGCACTAGGAGTCTGCATCAGACCCAAGGTCGGGCTTGGCTGCCCAGGAGGGCTGTAAACTACCTGTCGCGTAGGAGGGGCAGCTCGCGGGTTGACGCTGACACCAGGGTTGCCCATCTGGCTGGCACGTCGAGGGTCTCGTGGGGGGATCTGAGGCTGCTGCTGACGAGCTCGGACTGACTGGGGAGATTCAACAACAGGAGAGAGGCTGACTCGCTGTTCTGGTGCCACAGACGGAATGCTTGAGGAGGACTCGGTTGAGGTGGTGATGATGGTGGCGCTACTACTGCTGGAATCTTCACGTGGTCGAGTCAGGGGTCTTGTCATGGAACGACGATTGGAAGTGCTGCGTCTCGGATGAGACTGGGAAGAGAAGAAGGGGGAGGGATACTGCGGACGAGGTCCACCAGGCCTGGACGGTGCACCACCAGGAATAATCTCAGCCGGAGGAGCAAGCGATCTGGTGCCGCTTCGTTCTGCACTGCTAAGGGGGGCGTTATCATTGTTAGGTGGTCTTGGTGCTCCCTCTTGAGAAACCTTGGACTCCTGCGAGCCTCGAGCAATCACCGAGGCACGCTTTGGGTTTCCCAGAACCCAATTGCCGTATTGGTCGGCAACATAATAAGTTGTTGCTGAAAGAGGCGTTGTTGGTGGTCTCCAGACTTGAGTGTTGGCGTTTGGTGATATCGACGTACGGTCTTCCTCAAACTCTGTCACGTTACTCTCACGGTTGCTCATCCGTACAGCTGGTCCAGCCGGTTTCTCGGCTTGTGGTATTTTTAGTTTCAGCGGTGCGGGTGGTGTCGGCTTAGATCTTCCTGTCCAAGCAGCAGCAGCTAGTGTTGCTGATGGTGGTGGCGGTATTATTGAAGAGCTCTCATCTCGCGATGAATTTCCAGCATCTTGGCGTCTATCGTCAGCTTGCTCCGCGTGGAGAATAGGCAAGGGCTTTTCGTTGGTGTCTCCGGCAGATAGATCCGGTAGGGTCGGTTTTGCAGGGAGCAGCTTTGATAGTCGCCTCAGTGGAGATGTATGTACCGCCGTGTTGCGGCTCGAGGGAGGAGGTGATAATGCTACACCAATGGCTCCAGGTTTGACACTCCTACGGTTGGAAGTAGGCGGCGGTGGTGGGTGATTCGTAGGATCCAAATCAGGTCGCAGTTGGTGAACCATCCACGAATTATGTCCACCGTTGTCAGATCGATCTGGCTTATAACCCCAGGTGTCCCTCATAGGAAGAAAGCCAGTCTTGATCTGAGGATACTTTCTTCGTCGATAGTATCGTGCCAATACAATAGCTCCAACAGCAACTCCCACTGCGGCGAGGACGCCGACTGAAATACCAGCGACCTGTTCAGTGGAAAGTTTGTCCGGATCATCACTGTCCTCATCTTTGCTTGCCCCACCAGCACCACCCTGTACGTCCGTGGTGGTCTCGGACTCTGAACTCGAAGTTGAGGTATATGTAGAAGTCTCAAAAGTAGTGGGCTTAGTGAACGGAGGCTCCGTGATCGAGATGATATCTGAATCATCTGATGAATCAGTCGTAGAGTATTCTCTGGCCGTCGACCGTGTTGTTGAGCCAACTGGTTTCGTCGATGGTCTTGGAATAACAGGGGGCGAGGATGTGTCAATAACCAACGTTGTCGGCAACGTACGAGCAGTGGTGGATGTATCCGGTCGTGAAGTGGTCTTGGTAGTCACTGAGGGAAAGGTCACAACTCCTCCCGTAGGAGCTAAAACTAATGTTGCCGTGATGGTGAGATAAGTAGGATGGACCGCGCCAGGTCTCCCGTTGCATATATCATATGCATTCTCGATGACTCGGTCTACTTCTGTGTAAGCAACACACTCTTTGCGTATTCTGTGGTTCGTAGTACATACCACTAGCTTCGACTTTGGAGCAGTATCCAATGGATCGTTCAGCAGATATACATTGCATTGCACCCTCACCAAGAGTGAATCCCGAGGCGCCTCTTCGAGAACACAGACAATCCAGCAGGGGTTTCCCAGTGCAAACATCCTGAGCATAATTGACGTTAAGGAAGGAGGCGAAGCATTCTCCGGCACAACTAGGGATGAAGCTCGAGAATTCGTTGGAGATATTAGTCGCGAGTACGACAGTTACACAAAAGATCAACCATGCCGGCACGAAGGAAAATGGCCAACTGGCCATTCTACAACGAAACATCTAGTAACGGAAATCAGCTCGAGCTTGAAGCAGGGCATGTTGGGTAGGTGAACTCACCTAAAGAGAAGGGTATCCTATTAAAGGAGATGACCAGCATCTCAACGAAGTAGATTCATGAGCAGTCGTGACAAAATGGCAAAGGAACAAAGGGAAAAGAAAACCAAGGAGAAATTAGTTAGTGAGAGTTTGTACAAGCGGTCACAGAGGATATGACAGAGGAAAAGGACAAAGAGAAGAGAAAATGCGAAACACAGTCACAACGGATGGATGAGTTAGGAAACAAGGGGGCATATGAAGACAAGACTGGACTGCGCATATGCAGCATGCATACACATATCTCAGCAGCAGCAGCCGCCTCCTCCTCCTCCTCCTCCTCCTGCTACATCACGCAAGCTGATCATGACATGTAGGGCCAGCGCTTGCTGGGCGTTGTAAGTCCTGCATCTGCAAGCCTCCTCCTCAGCTGCAAGGCCTCTCGAGGGCTATGGAACCGCCAGAGCGGGCCATCGATTGCTCTCTGCGTCATTGTGGAAGAGGCTGGATCCGAGATATCCTGCTGCAAGTGCGTTCTATTTTTGCGCGCCTGCAATGCAGAGGCGGAATACTTGGACGATCCGAAACTCGACGGACGGTGTACGTTTTGTTTGGCGGTTAGAGTTCGAGCTATGACTGGCTGAGGCTTCTTGTAGCGCCGTTAGACGCGGGAGGGTCCTTTTGGGCGTCAGCGACTGACAGCCAACCACAGCCAGCCTCCCCAGCTGGAAACATGATGACTGATCACGTGAACCATCTCCGTCCAATCACGGTGTTCGTATAGCCTCAGTTGGGGGCCTAGTATAAGGTACCTAGGCCACCCCAAGGTACTGTGCGTACCTCTCCTTCTGCTGCAGATCGGCGACCTTTATTAAGCTTGATACTATCCGTATACTGTACAGTAGATGTGATGACTACGCCTTTCCACGCCTTGGCTGGTTTCGAAATCAGTTGGGTGGTCATCGTGGACTTATCCTCTTAGGAGTTGCTCTGAAACGGTCACCTCCAGCCCAGCTGAAAGATCTCAGTGTCACTTCGTCTTGATTGTCCATGGACCTCTCGGTTCGTTGCGAGATCCTAAAGAAAATATTGGGGCTGGTCAAGAGACCTTATACTTGTTTCAGTTCGGTTCAAATGGGCGTCTATGAATCAATCACATAGTGATGTGACCCACAATGCCTTTGCCTCCATTCTTCATATCCTCATAGCCAAACGATCTAAGCACGGGCTATTATCACCTATTATGCTACCATGCCATAGATATGTTGATGTCATGTCTGCATTCGTGTCCCCATCATATAATCTGGGTGTTCTCATTACCGGCAATTTATTATCTTGGTCAACTTTACGGGATATATTCGCATTGAAGATCTAGATTCTCTCCCATTTCAAGGCTCGTCAACCATCACAAAAATCTCTTATCAAGTGCATCCATGACAGGCGTACCGGCATCAGAAATACCTCTGTGCGGTCACGATGCTCAAGCCGAATTGCCAGGCGAAAGATGGAAAGAGTTTCGTAAACGATAAAGATCAACAACCTTAGACGCCGACGCCGACAATAACACCTACAATAGAACCGCAAATCCGCCAGGGCACAGGAAGCTCCGAATACCACGAGGCCATCTCTTGTCTGTGTTGGATGAAAACGCCACATATAATGCAGCTTCGCCCTCAGTCCCCGCCAACCAAATGCTATACAAACATCAAATTCCTCTATTAACAATCTCACATGGCCATTTCAGCCTGCAACTTCCGAAGTTCGGCTTCCTCGTCATCCTCTTCAACTGCCTGCTTCTTGCTTGACACGGCTGTATAATGTTAGTGTTTACACAAAAAAGAACCTGAGTAAGGGGACATACGCTCTTCCCTAGCCGGCGTGGGTAGCTTATGCACAGCATCTGACACGGGGACAGTGCCCGTCTTGAGCATCTGTTCGTCGAGCTGCTCCTGCTGTAGCTCGTCCAATTCGTTCTCCAGCTCATCCTCGTCGATCGGCTCGCCTAATGAGTTCGAGGTGATAGCGTTGACAATCTCGTCGCTCATTGCATTGTGCTCACGCAGTTCATCCCTGTGGTTTCAGATTAGCCAAGGACACATCTCATACAACCGGCATGAATAAGCCTGGTGTCAACATACATCGTCGCATCAACCTTGTCCACCGTGAGACCTCCATAGATCTGCTTCATGGCCGCGTTGGCGTTGCTCATGGCCGCCAGAGTCTCCTTGTTGATATTGGCGGACTCGATCGAGTTGATTTGCTGCTCTAGTGTACCGATCTGTGCAACGGTTTGCTCGAGCGCGTGCTCGTGTGTCTTCTTGCGCCTCAAGGCCGCTTTGGCCGCTATCATATAGATCAGCATCTCTGCCCCGCATTACGAATCTCATGGAGATGGTCACGTACCGTTCTTGTTGGTGCTCACGTTCTTGCGTGCCGTAGCATCCTGCTCGTCGATCTGAGTCTGGAGATGTCTCTCGCGCTTCTGCAACATGTCAAGCTGCGCTCGCAGCCCGAGGATCGCATTCTTGGGCGTGTCCTTGCGTTTTTGGGCCGCGGCGCCACCAAACCAACCCCACATGGTTGCAGTTGCTGATCAGTCAAGATTGGGGAGAGATGTGAGTTTGATGAAGGAAAAGGAGCGCGCGTCCTGTTCCGCTTGTTGAGCGATCTCGTCTTGCAGTGTCGGGACAGAAAATGGCGTAATGAGTCTCGACTCAGTGTCGGGTAGTGGGGTCAGGCTCCAGGAGAATAAATCCACGGGGGCTACACAGGATATCGGAAGCTTCTAGTATTAGATGAATAAGAAGCGCGATATGCCCTGTAGGTTGTGATGTTCTTTGTCGTCAGCGTCGCCGTCCTAGGTAGTGTAGAGTTAAAGGTAGCCTGCGGGACTCTTATCGTTGCCTGTGTGATGACGGCACCTAGGCCTTGCCCACCATTTCCTCTTAATTGCATATTATGGGGCTGGCTGCTATAATTGCAAGATTGCTCAGGTGCACCCGTCTCATGTGACGCAATATTCAAGTAGCCGATGTCAACTACCCATGTCACTCCAACCAAATATGAGGCTATTCGCAAGTGAGATGTGATACGTGGTAGATGAATATTAGGTGTAATAGCTTGGTCTTTTAGTATGTTCATGCTTGAGTTCTTCTTCCGTGAAATGTCGCATATCCGCCTCTTGTCTCTCCACTTCTTGACATACTGGAATTGCAGAAAGTACCTAGGTAGTTACGTTCGTTGGCTCATGTTCAAGCATACCTACCTCTAGGTAGGCAGCGGATGAGAGATCCATTGGCTAATTATACTGGTCATTATCGTCAGTGTATCCTCAACTCCAGAAAACGGCCCATATTATCTATATTACATCTGGCTCCATACTCCGTCAGCTCCCTCTATAATGCTGCTCTTCCTAACACACATTTACTACTGAGTCTTTATGGCACAGCGCGTTTCCTGACTGATAATAAGAACCCAGTTCTTCAATATTACAAAAAGCATATGCTTCACTTTTAGCCTCTTCCTCCAATAAGTACCCCTAGCGCCCACATTGACCGTATTAAATACACGACAGATCGAGTCGAATCGAACGAAATAGTTACTCGCTGAAGGATAATCTTTTGTTGCTCATTTCCAAGCTTAACTTGAAGGTGAACATCGACCGAGTGGTCTGGAAAAATGTTGGAAACGTTAACGGCGTAACGTCATGAGTCTGCGTGTCTGGAGTGAGCTGGTCGAGAGTCGTCGTCAGGTAGACAAGTTACGTAAAATAAAATAAAAACTCCACTTGCTCTTCAGAATTCCGGCACTCATCATAAGTTACCACCCTTCTCTTGTGTATCGTAATGCCATACGATGTAGTTTGGGAGACCAATAACTTGATAGCCGGCACGCTTAGCCATCTTGGCAAAACCTTCGGTCTCGGCCTGGTTTTCAAAAGCATACGCTGGAAAGTTGATGCCTAAAAAGGATGTCAACCGCGACGTCACGGAACTTGATATACTGTGGCCACAAACCTGATCGATGAACGTCTGCCTTGACCAGAATGTTGACACCGCCAATACCATCCAGTTGAACCTCGACATCTTTGTTTTCGCGCCAATCCCCCATCTTGCACATGTATTCGCGCCCAGTGTCAAATTCCTTGTAGCCTTCAACAATGACTGTGTCTTTGGGCAGGCTGTTGGCGAGCTTTCGGCCTTTGTCGGACTCGATCCATGAATTGTAGTCGACTGTGTTTGCAAATTAGCAAGTCTCTGGTCATAGCTAGACTTGAGGGACCTACATCGACCTTCGATATCAACACCCTTCTCGAACCTGTGGAACCAAATGTCTCAGATGTGTCAGTGCCATGATGTCTCAGAATATCCTTAGGGGACCTACTGGGCACGAGAATATCTCTATCGTGCGCAACAAAATCTTCAATGATCCGTCTTGGTGCTTGTTCAATATCAACGTCACGCCAGTACACCCATGAGTGCTCTGGCTTCAGGGCTGTAGCCAAGAGGTAGTTTCTTGCCTTAGCCATGGCTTTGCGACGTGGCGCTTGTACCTCAAACCCATGTCTCTGCTCTGCATCCTGGCTGAGGTGGAAATGGAAATTCTTTTCGACAACAGTGATACTGTTAAATGGCACCTCGTCCTTCCGCTTTTGTAGGTGGTCAAGCTCGGAAGCAAGGACAGCGAGTGTATCGTCTTTCGAGTCAGATATTAAGAAGGCGAGATCGATCAGGCGGTGCGGATAAGTGAGCTCTGCTATGAGTTTGAAGTAGTTCTTGAGGAAAGGGGCGGCGTCCTTGAGAGGTGTCAAGATCAATACTCGTTCGTTTCGGATGATGGCCTGTGGGCTCGAAGTGATCGGGTTCAGGTCGATGTGCTGGATCGAAGGAGATTCGACTTTTAGTGGTTTGTGATGGTTGAAGAGGACTGGTGTCTGCATGTGTGCATTCCATAGAGCATGTTCGTTCGGTGTCATTTCCATAGGCGACTTGTTTGGGCCCCAGCAGCGAACACTGTTTCCATGTTAGTCGAGTTCCTCTACTCGAACCAAGTTGACGGTACAGACTTTTGTGGCCCAGGGGGTGGTGCTCGAAAAGTACGGTACAGCAGCATCACAATGCCAGTAATGCCTATTAGGAGAAGTAGTCGTGATCGTGTCAAATTGCTTCGCAATACTCTGCTTGGAGGCATCTGGGCCTTTGCGGCCTTCCAGTTCAGTCCGCCACCAGGGAGAAGCATGGTGAATACTTCAGCAAGTCGTCCTCTCGCTCTATTCTTCGGGTAAAATAAACGGTAGCAGAGGCGACAACTGGCGCCGTCGTCACAGCTGTGCTCACGTTTTGTCGTCAGCAACCACGTGAGGTCTTCCAAGGTTCGCTGTTCTTTCAATTCTCCTACCGCAACGGCTCCGTCTAACAACCCTTTGATCCTGTTCAGTACCGCAGAGTCCTACGGCGGCTCCCGTGTAATTTCGTGCTTAGGTAGACTACACCCTGATACGCCTTTGTACAGGGGTTTTGCTGGCGGCTTTGAGGTTATTGCTGTCGCGTAAGGGGCCTAGCGTTACCAGAGTGGCTCAGAACATATAATGTTCGCATTAAGCAAAAATAGATGGTACGACCGAAAACGAGTGTGTGATGGTACTCTATTAAGAATTGGTGAAGTCGACAGGCATCGGGTGCAAGAATCCAGGTAAGAAAAGTAAACCAAAAAGCACTGTTGACATGACCTTAATCCACGTTGCGATAGCTCGGATCAGCACCTTGACTTTCGTTGGCTCGACACGACAGTCCGGGTTGTGGCCGGGACAGGGTCCCTCGAGCGTTCCAGGCACTCCACTGACCCGCCGTGAGCTCCATTCTACGGGCAGTGGTTCAGCAGATAGCCCCTATCGAAACGGCGGCCGTGTGGGCGGATGGAAAGGCTAACGTCAGCGACGGATATATGCTTACCCTAGAGAGTGCTCTGAAGAAGCAACCGAAGTCGTGGCTATGGGTCTTTTTGAATAGATGCTAATCTCCTTCTTCTTCTTCTTCTTCTTCTTCTTCTTCTTCTGTTGACCTTTGGAACGAATCGCATTGTATGTCGGCGGTGCGTGATACCGCGCTACAAGCGAGGGAGACTTCGCCTCGCCTCGCACTCGCTGTTTATACACAATGTTACGTCTCTGTTTGGTCTTTCAACTGACTAGTATGTAACAGTACACTCTACGGATTCACTGGGGCAGATATAAGCTTGTACCAAGAAATGATAGAAACCTGGTCAAAAATATAGGCTACACAAGACATTTATAAAGAGAAGACGTAGATACAGGTTACAAATCCATACCTAGGTAACTACTCCGTAATCGCCAGTCCGTTGTCTTAATTGACGGTGGAGGTAATGGAAGGTACCTTATTCAACCTGTGGCGTTATTGGCTCTAAATACGCTAAGAGATCGACCAATGACATAAGACAGGTCGCATATCCCAAGGACTCATAAACGTGAATAAGCAAAAGACTGACACTTTCGCCAACAGGAATACTTGCCAATTTCTAGAAGAAAAAACGCTCTACTACGCCGGAGGCTACTTGTGAGTAGCGGTGCATCTACCGTGAGCCGGATTGTGTTATGCCCACTTTGCTCTTACGACGTCGTACCTCCCTGGCTTTGCAGCAATTCACATCATATTCACAAATACTCGGAACAAGGACAGGACTCAGTTCGACGCACATCATGGTCACCACGAGGCGATCCTCACGCATCAGCGCTCAGCCTGCTTCCGTGACGGAGTCATTGGAGAAACCAAGATCGACGGCTGCAGGTCGGAAGCGTAAAGCAGCTGCAGTTGAGGACGAGCCCGAAGCACCTTCAACACCACCCCCAAGGAAGCGAGCACAAGACGAACCTGCAATATCAGCTGTTCCGCCACCAAAGACACCAACGCCTGCTGCTGCTGGGCTCTTTGCTGAGCCGACTAGCATCACCAAGAAGCCTCGTACTGCGGCCGTTACACGACTTGCAAACCCCAGGCTGACAAACGCAACACTACTCTCACCAGAGACGTCGCGTCTTGTTACCTCACGGGACATTGATAATTTATCGCCCAGCAAGGCACCTCAGGCCAAGACGACAACAGAGAATCTCCTTAAAGAGGCATGCGACTATCTGGTCAAAGTTGATCCTCGCATGAAACCCCTTGTAGAGAGCCACCACTGCAGAGTTTTCTCACCAGAGGGACTGGCAGAGAAGATAGACCCATTTGAGAACCTCTCCAGTGGCATCATTAGCCAGCAGGTATCAGGAGCTGCAGCCAAGTCTATAAAGGCCAAGTTCCTCACATTGTTCGAGGAGCAACCAGGAAACCGATTCCCTCACCCCTCCCAGGTGGCTTCCAAGTCGATCGACGAGCTCCGTACAGCAGGTCTATCGCAACGCAAAGCCGAGTACATCAAGGGTCTCGCAGAAAAGTTCGTCAGTGGAGAACTTAGTGCTCAAATGCTCCATGATGCTTCGGATGCAGAGGTCATGGAAAAGCTGATTGCCGTGAGAGGCCTTGGGAAGTGGTCCGTTGAGATGTTTGCATGCTTCGGGCTCAAAAGGATGGACGTCTTTTCACTCGGTGATCTAGGCGTTCAGAGAGGAATGGCTGCATTCGTGGGGCGTGATGTTGCCAAGCTAAAGGCCAAAGGCGGTGGTAAATGGAAGTACATGTCGGAGCAGGATATGACTGAGCTGTCGGCTAAGTTCTCGCCATATCGAAGTCTCTTCATGTGGTATATGTGGCGAGTCGAGGAGACCGATATCAGTACAATGGAATAAACTTTGGTTGCTGGGGCGGTGTTTGTTTGTTGTTGTTGTGCCTCGTAGACAAAGATCCCACATTGTGTTGATCGGATATGGTACACTTCCGCGGTCACTACTGCGAGTGGTGATGTCACATTACAGATTCAATGCAAATATTTATGTACTATAGCTGTCCTCTGTCTGGACCCGGTGAATAAGGTCCGACGTACGCGTCTAACAATATATAATCGGTTTCTCATACTGCAATGAGTTGGTGAGGCCTTTTCGTTTACAGAGCATATCTCTTATTGCTGTTCAAGGATCATGGCAGCAAACATAATTGGCTGAACTTGCACAAAGGACATGATTCGCCATCGGCGATCAGCTCCAGGGGAGGCCTGCTTTTGTGGATTCACCCATAACGGCGCGAAGACGGTTGCGCCACGAATCGACCAAAGACGCCGCTGCCGAGACTGTACTCCGTAGCGGGCCTCGATGCATCCTGGCATCTTGGTACATCGTGAAGGTTGCAAAAAAAAAAAAAAAAACCCCTAAAAACAATGACAGTGAGGTTGCCATGTAAGTACAATGTATCAGACAAGACGCATGAATACGTGTCTGACGAACAACGAACTCGACATTAGCTCGCAGATCGCGAGAGTTAAATGGGACCAATGTGATGAATTTAACCTCCACGGAGCAAGGCCCATAAATGAAAGTCTTGTGCAACCACTTCGCAAATCGTCGAGTCTTTGCAAGGTCTGGGCAGATATTGAAGCGGGAAGTGGGAAGATGCTTGGTTAGTGACGGAGCCGATCCCACACAAGCTGCAGGCTTGGCTGTCTGAGTGTGGAGAGTGTAACGCGTCAAGGGGCGACGGATAACTTCGATTTAGGTACATATGTACACGCTTCGATGGAATGGAGGCGTCCGTCGTGGCCTCTTGGACAGCGGAAGACTCAACCGAGTGGCCAACGGGAGGAAATCCGGGCATATCTGATCTAAATTAGCGTCCACACGTGTATGCAGTGCCATTCATAGCCGTGTGCCCTCAGCTGATAACAGACAGTGTTTTCCTTCCCTCCAATGGTTCGGAAAGGCCTTCGAGGCTGGGATTTTTCAATGAGGCCAATTAACCCTGAAAAGCCATTGTCTGAGATACACAGAAGATAGACATGCCCAATATGCTCTGGTGTGTTGTTTTGACCACCTGGATGATGATTTTGATCAATATCATCCTCAATGGATATCTTGAGTCCGTGAAACTGAAAGATAACAAACCCATGGCCACTGTGACATGGCATAAAAACAAATCAGGGGCGAATTTCGGTTAAAGGGCGGTGCGAGAAAAAAAAGTCCATTTCAATCGTAACCTTGGATCTATCCGCGGCATGTGCCCCAGCACATTTGTAGGAGTGACAATCCACTGAGATAAAGAAGGGCTGGGCAGGCTGGGATCAAACACAGGACTACCACATCACTTGAGACTTATGTTAAAGGGGAAAGAGAAAAAGAAAAAAGAAAAGGACAAAGACAAAGACAAAGAGGCACATGAACTCCGGCGGCAGTGACAGTCGCGTTCCATATTAGTTGTCCGAGACTCCGAATACTGAAGAGATATGATAAAGGAAAGGGAAGCAAGTGCGTGAAGTGGAATGATGATAGAAATATCCGTAAAGGGAGAAGAAGCATTGGGCTTTGTTATCCCCGGAGCCTCCGGAAGTTTCGATGCCGAGAAAAGTCGTATCGTATTGTCAGTAGCAATAAGATTTCAGACCTTGAGTGGTGTTTATTATGCCTGGTTACTGCGATAAATGATTCTACAATCACCTGGGTCTGATATCGATCAACGAGTTCGATTTAATACTCGTGTCATTGGAGATAGGCTCGTGTTCGCTCGGTTGAATGATTGTCATATCTGTAACTGGACTCTGTCCTACCCTTATGCCAGGCATACAGCATTTCTCGCCCTTGACAGGTCGGCTGTGTAACCTTTGCCTCCGACTGGCATCATAATTGTCTCGTGGAAATGATGACGTCTCAGCAGAAGAAAGGAATTGAAGATTGAGAATCCAGGCCCAGCCTGGATCGTGAAATCATATGTAAATGAAGACAAATGGAACAAGATGAGTTTGACAAGGAAGGCGGTGCAATGTCTCCGTCTGTTAGCGAATACTTTGTAAGGGGGTGCCATTGCTGGGTAATGACACTACGGAATTGATCGATTGGAAGGTATTTTACTATCAACAGGTTGAAAGACATGGGAGTTTAAGGCCCCTGCTAGTTGATGCGAAAAGTGGATGCTCTGAGCATCGTCCGTAGCTGAATGGGGTGCAAATCTCGCCTGCATGCGATGGGATGGAATTAGAGAAAGCTGGAGATTGTAGCTAATTTTGGTGTTGAGATTGTCAGGGAATAATAAGGACAATCTACGGAGTACTTAGAGTACATATACCAGAGTGAGTCTAATAAA